ATATATATATATATATATATATATATAAATATATATACATATACACACACATATATTTACACATATACACACACATATATTTACACATATACACACATATATATACATACACATATACACACACATATATTTACACATATACACACATATATATACATACACATATACACACATATATATACATACACATATACACACATATATATATACATATACACACATATGTACACATATATACACATATACACACATATATATGTACATATACATATATACACACATACATATACATATGTACACACATATATATATACATATATACACACATATATATATATACATATATACACACATATATATATACATATATACACACATATATATACATATATACACATATACACACATATATATGTACATATACATATATACACACATATACATATACATATGTACACACACATATATATACATATATACACACACATATATATACATATATACACACACATATATATACATATATACACAAACATACACACACATATATATACATATATACACACATATATATATATATACATATATACACACATATATATATACATATATATATATATACATACATACATACATATATATATATATATATATATACATACATACATACATACATACATATATATACATACATACATATACATACATACATACACATACATACATACATACATACATACACATACATATATACATACATACATACATACACATACATATATACATACATACATACACATACATATATACATACATACATACATACACATATATATATACATACATACATATACATATATATACATACATACATACATACATATACATATATATACATACATACATTCATATACGACGATAATCAGACAATCAATACAGACACAAGGGAGAACAGACAGGGGGAAGGCCCACTAGATGGTGCCATCCCTACACTATGTTTACATGCGCAAAATTCTTTGACCTGAATGAAATGTTTTCAGATTAAATACTTCAAATGTATCATTTACACGGGCATAATCCATTCATGACAAGCGTTTGCATCCAGCGGGCTTTGTTCTGAACAGAAGTATTGACATGTGCAGAGTGGTGAACTTTCCGTAAAAAAAACACAGAAGTAGTTCTACGTCCGGTTTACTTCTGGGATGAACGTAAACAAACCTGAGCACCCAAAATGGACCTGCAACAGGTTTTAATGACGGTGGAGATGTTTCTGCACTCCTTGACTGAGCTACAGGTGACACAGATCATTTTGAGCTCTTTCAAAGTTTCTAGTAGAAATGCTGTGTCGCTCACTGACCTGTTTTGCTTCCTCAACATGCTAATATTATTAGCGTTAGCCAGGCGGAAATGACAAAGTCGCACATGCGCAGTCAGGTCAGTTTTTCACCATCGGAAAAAATGAACAGATCAAGTATTTACATGCACACCTTCGGATTATGAATCGGCATAAACCACCCATCTCATTATAATTACAAATTCTTTCAAATCGAACTGAATTAACAAAAAATAATCAGAATGGGGCGTTTACATGACGCATTTTTATTCTGAATGGCCATTTAATCGGATTACTTATGTCCATGTAAACATAGCTACTGAACCCCTCATTGCCTCCAATGTGTGTCCCATTGGTGTATGAATGTGATAAAGCACTGATTATTCTTTGTAAAAAGTTAAATAGTAGAGTGCTGTATGAATGGGTAAATGAGGACACAGATCATAGTGTAAAGCACTTTGAATATCTCAATAAGATAGAAAGGCCCTATTTAGGTAAAGTCCATTTACCATCTCAGATCACTGAGTATCACTCAGCCCCCTGTGAATAGCAAGCAGCCATCAGGACACTAACGAGCCACTGTTAGGCTGATGGTCCTCCTTTAGCATGTGAACAGCTAGCTTTGAATGTCAAAAACAAACTGGTTGATTCACTACGAGAAGGTACTATTTATAAGAGTGAGCTTTGTACAGCTCCTCAGACTGAAGAAGTCTTTCGAATAAAAGACGAAACGTTGCTACAATTTTGAATTTTTATTTTCTTGAACCCATCCAGAGGACCTGACAATTTTTTTTAGATCTACTCGGTTTGTTTCAACTCAGGTCAGGTTCATAGAAAGGTCTTTCAGGCTAATGGGCTCATTTTGGCAGGTTTAAAAATTAGTACACAATAACTCTCTTCATCATGACACTGTTAAACTTGGGGGAGTTGTAGAAAGCTAAAAGAAAAGGAACGTTTTAAGAGATGAGGCCACATTCACAGGATGAATGGAACTCGTGTAGTGCAATATCTTTGCAACACTTGTAACAAAGATATTCCTTACCTGGGTTGTGTCATGCATTTTCAGAATTTCCTCAACTATGTTTGACACACAACAGTCCAGCTCCTGCAAAGGTAAAACAATAAATCAATTTAAAGTAGTCAACACTCAACCTGTCCTAATTTGGCGTATTAAAATGTCCGTCCGTCCATCCATTATTTTTACCCGCTTCTTTCTTTTCCGGTCATGGGGGTCGCTGGTGCCCGTATCTAGCAATCACTGTGTGATAGACAGGGTACACCCTGGACAGGATGCAAGTCCATCACAGGGCCACAAAGAGACAAAAAAAAACACTCATACCTATGGACAATTTAGAGTTACCAATTAGCATAGCATACACTTTTTTGGTCTGTGGGAAGAAACTGAGTATACAAAGAATACCCATTCATGTACAAAGAAAACAGGCAAAGTCAACCCAAAAAGGTCCCTGGACAGGACTCTATCCGGCAACCTTCTCACTGAGAGGCAAAAGCAAGATTGGGGGCTAATTGCTACAGGCTGTTCAGTCCTTATTTAAGCGGTGCTTGGTTTTTGTTTGCATTGCCGGTAGTAAGTCAGACTCCTTCGGGGAGGAAGTTGGACTATGCCAGGGCTGCCCATTGTCATTGATTCTGTTCATAACTTTCATGAACAAAACTTCTCAGTGCACCAGCGGGCGGAGGGAGTCCGGTTCGGTGGCCTGGGGATTTCACCTCTGCTATTTGTGGATGATGTGGTCCTGTTGGCGTCATGATCTTCAACACTCACTGGAGACGTTCGCAGCAGTGTGAAGTGGCTGGGATGAGAATCAGCACCTCCAAATCTGAGTCCATGGTCCTCAATCAGAAAAGGGTGGATTGTTCTCTTCAGGTCGTGGGTGAGGTTCTGCCTCAAGTGGAGGAGTTCAAGTATCTCGGGGTTTCATTCAGGAGTGAGGGAAGTATGGAGTGATTGACAGACAGATTGGTGCAACATCTGCAGTATTGTGGACTCTGCACCAGTCCATTGTGGTAAAGGGGGAGCTGATCTGTAAAGCAAAGCTCTCTGTTTATCAGTCAGTCTACGTTCCTACTTTCACCTGTGGTCGTGAAGTCTGGGTAGTGACCGAAAGAATGACATTGTAGACATAGGCGGTTGAAATGTGTTTCTTCCGCAGGATAGCTAGACCCTCCTGTAGTGAACTTAATCTGAGGTCAAGACTAAGCCTAAGGTCAAAACTCTTGACCTTAAGAACCTTGTGGGACAGGAACTGTCATTTCATTGATTTGAATCCAGAAATACAGGTTCACCCATCCTGAGACTTTCGTTCTTGAAAATTCAAGTGGAAGAACACTCTCTGTTCTATTATCATTACTATTTTACAAATGTTGATAATCAAAGTGTCTTAGTTCAAAAACCATTTTAGATGTTGCAGTGAACTAATCAATTTATTAACTGTGTAATGATTTTTAATTCTCATGCAAAGTTAGAACTCATGTCAAAGCTGTTACAGAGTAATTATGCATTTTCTGATTTCTGCCTTTGAATGAGCAAGTGTGCGTTTCCAGGGTCAGGAGTCGAAGCAGACATGTGTTGGAACAACTGCCTTGTTTTCATCCTCTCAGACGTCAACAGGGGGGTTTTGGCACCTGTTTCTAAAACTCGCCAAAACAAAACTCTCTCTGTCTGTGAGAACATTTCTGATCTGTTCCATAACAATTCTTGCTGTCTTCTAACCTCTTACGTCACAAAACACACCCCGTCTGGTCGGTTCTGACCAATGGGAAGACTCCCGAATGAACCGGGAAAAGGGCTCTTTAAAATGTCGGTACTTCCTGGTCTACACAGTTCTGTGGGTTCTGTTGGATACACGGTTCTGTCGAGTTGGAGAAGTTCGGCGGCGCGGACAGTTCTGATATGTCCTAGCGCTGGGCAGTAGCTGTGGGAGCCGGGAAGATCCTGACATGACAACAGAGCTCTTCCGAGTTTCATGGGATTATAACATTTTCCACTGAGGTGAGCTGTGGCGGACAGAATCTCGCCGCTACTCCGGACGAGTAACAGCATCCTACGGAGACGCTGAAAGGGTGCGTTAAACGGAATCTCGCCTGAGACATCTCCAGGTAAAAGAGTCGATTTCACCACCTAAGTGTACTGTAAGGAAGAAGCTGAAGAAAGCCCGGAGAGTGCCGTTCTGTTCAACACTCTACCTCAACCACCATCTTTCTCCCCTTTAAACTTCATCTTTTCATCTTTAAACTCTTCTATCAAGTAGATATTCTTCCAGATATTTTAGAAATGTCTGTGTAAAGTGCTCATCCACCGCCGTGTGGGTAAAAGATCATAATTGTACAGTTTTCATAAATGTCTGTGGTGAAGCAACGGAAAAATCATGGCCGTATGATTTTTCTTGATCGATTGCTTATGTTGTTATTTTCATAATTTGCCAAATTAATGTAAATGTTTGATGTTAAACTTTGATTCTGTAAATAAATGACCGCATTCATTTTGATGGGTCAAAGATAAATGACGTCTCACGTTTGCATTTCTTTAAATTCAATGCACGTTTTATTCAGTCCAGAAAAATGAGGAATCCGTGTTAATTGATGAATATATCTGAGCATCTGTTCATCTACACTCCCTTAGAGATAGGGTGAAAAGTTCAGTTATCTGGGAGAAACTTGGGAGTAAAACCGCTGCTCCTCCACACTATATGGAGCCAATTGAGGTGGTTCAGGCATCTGGTATGGATGCTTCCTGGGCAGCTCCCTAGAGAGGTGGTTCGGGCATGTCTGACTGAGAGGAGACCCTGGGGAAGACCCAGGACACGCTTGAGAGACTATGTCACTTTGTTGGCCTGGAAACACCTTGGAGTCCTCCCAGAAGAGCTAGAGGAGGTGGCTGTGGAAAGAGATGTCTGTGCCTCCCTACTCAAGATGCTGCCTCCACAATCTGACTTTGGAAGAAGAGGAAGATAATGGATGGACGGATGGTTTGGTATAAGTTCATGTGTCCATCCCTGCTCCGTAACAACTTCATTGTACTTTAACATACTTCTTTAAAGTTAGATTTGATACCATCAGTCTCAGCTATAATTGTATCTAAAGTACTATATGATCAGCTAAAGCAGGCTGAAAATTATTCCTACAATTTTTTATAAACATATTGTATCTGTGAAATGTAAGAATTATTTGATTTCAAATTACACAAGGTTCAAAGACTTTTGGCAGCTCCTAAATGAAGCATAGTAAGGGGATAAAAAAAATTTAAAAACACAACACAAGTCGGTTAAGCCCCCAGTATACTCCCACGTACGTCCGTTCACGCGTACGTACGCACGTACTGTATGCAGAGGGTTCAGACTTCATACTCGAGCGTACACCCTGAGCAGCTGCAGTCAGTTCCACAGACAAGGGGCGTTTACCTTTGGGACAAATTGAGGTCGCCGATTGGTCATTTGCTGACACACCTACTGGATTGATTGACAGATCGAAGGGGAAAAAAAAGAGCGCTGGCAGCCTCAGCTGCAGCAGTGTTCTGTGTTTATATGTTGATAATAAAAAGTTCTAAAACAAAAAAAAAAAACAAGAAGCGCTGGTCCTGCAGCCCACACATCAGACCAGCCCAACAAGAAATCTCCAGACCCTCCCGCAGCCACGCTGGACCTGAGTTTATAATTCGCTCGTGACAAATTCTTTCATTTCTCACCATTTCAGTCATGAAGTCAACGGAGGAGGAAGAGAGCATTTGTCTTTTGGCAAAAAAACAAAAGGAAAGGCCAGACCAGGGATGAAGAAGGGGAATTTAATACAATGGTGTCACATACAAAACAGTCCGTCGCCGGGCAGTTTATTGTGCGACACCGCATACACGTACGCGGTCATAAAAATTGAGCTTTGCACGACATGCCCTGAGGGGGTAAGCTCGAACCTCTGTGTACGTACGTACGTACGTGCGTGCGTGCGTATCTCCGCGTATGGACGTACGCAGGAGTCTACTGGGGGCTTTATTTGTCAATGTAGATCCACTAATGTGGTCTTCAAATGGAAGAAGGCCAGAGTGTATTACAGGAACTGAGACCCATTCATAGGCATCATCATTAACTTTTTTGTGTTTTTTGTTTTTTTAAACAAGGACTAAGAATAATGCAAACACTTTATCTTTGTAATGACTGCTGAATATCTGTGATGCTACACAATCAGGAAAATGTCACTGTTGTTTGATGAATAAAAGAAAAAGAAAATATCAATGACACATTTGTATGTTTTGAGAAAAGTGGAAAGGAGATACAACTTGGTATAGACGAGAGCAAGCAGGAAATCTGGTTAAATAATATCTCTGCTGTTAGTGTACTTCAGGTCAAAACAGAAAATTGACAAAACAGGAGCACAGAAAACATCGCTTTAACATCCAAATTATTTGGGGTTTTTTCTGCGAAGTGTAGATGAAACTAAAATTTACATGCCATCAAAGCCACCTGTTAACCAAACCTGAGACTGCTGTTGGAGAAAAAGTTCAAAACACACCGATTTAGTCTTGGTGATTTATGTGTTCATATCAATGTGACAATACAGCCTGTGGGTTTACTTACAGGGATCGTGTCAATGCGATTGTCCTTCCACACCTCCAACAACGCCACTACCATTTCATGGAGTTCATCTCTAGACAGAACCCCATCACGGTCTACATCAAACACTTTGAAGCAAACTGGCAGTAAAAAAAAGTCAGATAAAAATATGGATTCACAGCACAACACTGACAGATCTCTTCAAGTTTAAATGGTAAATTAAAGCATCAGTTAAAAGACTATTAGCAATACAACAATGTACCAATCACAAAACATTTTCACTTTTAATTATTATTCATAATACGGTCATAAAAATGTATATTGTACTTGTTATGACAATTCTAAATGATAATTAATAATGGGTAAACAATTAAATTTCAGCATGCTTACATTTCTGTCTCTCAGCGATGGGCCCCCTGCAGCATGCAGAGAGTCCACAGGAGATCTCTTTAAAGTCAATGTGATTGTCCCGATTTTCATCAAAAGCATGAAACAAGCCTGAAATACAACAGCAAACACTCAGATTATGTTTGTACAAAAAACAAGTGTTTAGGAAGTCAAACGCCATTCTATAAGGTCAAAAATAAGAACTTGAGTTTGTGAGTTAATATTTATATATATTTTCAAAAGTTTAAATAGTTTGAATCAAACACTGACACCCACTAAGTTGTCACTGTAAGCTTAGTTGATTTCTATAAACAGTATATTTTTGGAGACTTTGTGTAATGGTTTCTTTAAACTAAAATTACAAATCACAAAAAAAAGTTAAATCATGTCATCTGGACAGTTTCTTTTTGGGAGATTTTTGTCATTCATCCAAAGGACTTCATCAGTCTAAGCCTGCCAGCAAGAACGGATGCTGATGGTCCTTATATGAATGTGTAAAGCCAGTTTCTGTGAAATCCACAGTAGGTTGGCTTGAACCACCACAATGAGGTACTATTTATAAGAGAGTTTGGTGGCAGGCCTCAGATTGATGAAGTCTTCAGATGAAAGACGAAACGTTTCTCCCTAAAATAAACTGTCCAGGTGACATGATTTAACCTTTTTTGTGATTTAGCTTGATTGAGCTTACGAACCTTTTGTTTGTCTTTTTTTATTTTTTACTACAAATGTTTTGTATACATGCACACGTTCACAATGGGTTGCAACTTTTAGAGACTATTTTATTACATTTACATTAATATATAATATAAATAAATATAATTTGATAGTTGGGGACTAAAAATGGCAGAGGTGGGGGGTCATTGAGTCCAAGTGGGCCATGTTCCACACCTCAGATGAGATGTTCAGACAAGATGGCCGTGCTCAGAGCAGCCGCAGTTTCACAGGGTCTTAGTGAGATCCCAGTTTTCAGGAGTTTTGAAAAACAGACTCAAAACCTGACTGCACGCATTAAGCATGTGAATTATAGCCAAATCAAAACTGATGAGGATGAAAAAGGACTTAATGCTGAATACAGCAGCAATCAATAACAACCTTAAAACTAAGCTGGGCAGACTGCACCTTTTACGGACATCAGCGTGGAGACAGCAGCGCTCAAACGGCAAGAGGAGGCGCCGTGTCCAGGGGGAAGAAGAGAGGTTGCCGGGCTGGTGTGTTAGTGCAGCTGAAAGCTAACGCTAGGACTGGCAGACTCCCGATATCCTCTCTCTTTCTGTCCAAAGTCCACTCCTTGGATAACAAGATGGATCTGCATCGACTAAGAGTGGGTGTCTCAGAGGAGATGAGGGAATGTGTAGTACTCTATCTCACAGAGACATGGCTGAACAGCGACATGCCGAACACAGCCTTCCAGCTAGACAACAGACTTTTTCTTCGAGTGGACCGCTGCAGCAAAAAAACGGGAAAGACGCAGAAAGAGGGAGTATGTGTTTAGATAAATAAAGGTTGGTCCACAAACTGTACGCTGACAAAGAGTACATGCTCCAAGGCTTTAGAGCAACTAACTGTGAAGTATCCATTAATTTTCTTCTGCTTATCCAGGGTTGGGTCGCGTGGGTAGCAGCCTAAGTAGGGAGGCCCAGACTTCCATCTCCACAGCCACTTGGTCCAGCTCCTCCGGGGGAATCCCGAGGCATTCCCAGGCCAGCCGAGAAACATAGTCCCTCCAGCGTGTCCTGGGTCTTCCTCTGGGTCTCCTTCCGGTGGGACGTGTCCGGAACACCTCACCAGGGAGGCGTCCAGGAGGCATCCTAAACAGATGCCCGAGTCACATCAACTGGCTCCTCTCGACGTGGAGAAGCAGCAGCTCTACTCCGAGTCCCTCCCGGATGATCGAGCTTCTCACCCTATCTTTAAGGGAGAGCCCAGACACCCTGCGGAGAAAACTCATTTCGGCCGCTTGTATCCGAGATCTCGTTCTTTCGGTCACAACCCAAAGCTCATGACCATAGATGAGGTGTGCTTCACGGAGTCATGGCTCAACGAGAAGACCCCGGACTCCGCGCTCTATCTCGAGGGGTTCCAGCTCCTCCGCGCTGACAGACAGCGGGGACTTTCCAGAGAAAAGAAAAAAGGCAGAGGAGTCTCTTTTTTTTTTATCAACAACGCCTGGTGCTTCGACGTGACAGTGATCTCCCAGCACTGCTCTCCTTCTCTGGAATATCTCTTCATAAACTGCAAACCATTCTACTCTCCACGTGAGCTAACTTCATTTATTCTGGTCGCTGTTTACATCCCACCGTGCGCGGATGTGCACGAGGCTGAACGCGCGCTCGCGGATCAGATTACGAGTGTAGAGCAAACTTTTCTGGACTCCCTTGTTATTATCCTTGGAGATTTTAACAAAGCAAACCTCAGGCATGAACTACTTAAATATAAACAGTTTGTTAAATGCCCGACCAGAGAAGGAAACACGCTGGATCACTGTTACACCACAGTGAGCGGTGCTTATCGTGCTGTGCCTCGTGTTGCCCTGGGTCTCTCAGATCATGAGATGATTCACCTCATACCTGCACACAGACAGAGACTGAAGCTCTCAAAACCTGTGGTGAGGACATCCAAAAAGTAGACCAGTGAAGCTGTGGAGGAGCTACGCACGTGTTTGGACACCACAGACTGGGACCTGTTCAGGGCTTCTACAGACAGTCTAGACAAATACACAAACACTGTGACATCATATATACATTTCTGTGAGGACAGCATCATCCCATCATGCTCCAGAGTCATTTTGAATAATGATAAACCCTGGTTTACATCCAAACTAAGACAGCTTCGTCAGTAGAAGGAGGCTGCTTTCAGAGAGGGGGACAGAGACAACTACAGACGTGCGAAGTATGGATTTAGCAAGGAGGTGTCAAAGGCTAAATCCAGGTACAACACACGGCTGGAACAACAGTTTTCTGCAAATGACTCTGCCTCTGTCTGGAGGGGGCTGAAAAATTAATAGCAATCCTGAGTTAAAGGGAATTAACGTTTTTGATAGAGAATACAAGATTAGTCAATTTGCCGATGACAGCATTGTTTTTAAAAAATGATTTAATGGTTGAAAGAGCCCTTAATACAATTTCACTATTCTCTAAGTCTTCAGGTCTAGGACTTAACATTAACAAATGTGAGATCCTTCCCATTCATACTTGTATTCATAAAAACATCCAGTCAATCAGAGTCGTACATGAAGTTAAATATTTGGGTGTACTAGTATCTAAGAATGCAGTTAGAAGGGAAGATGATAACATCTCAAACCGCTTAGTAGATATGAAACAAAGTCTCAGCCGTTGGTTGACAAGAGATCTGACTATTTTTGGAAGGAACCTGTTGACTAAAGCAGATGGCATTTCCAAGGCTGTTTATCCACGTCATTCTATGTATAGATCACCACAAAACATAAGAAAAGCCAACTCCATTATCTTTCAGTTTTTGTGGAAAAATAAGACTCATTATGTTAAAAGGTCCCAACTAGTTAAAAACATGAGCATGGTGGTATTAATGCACTAGACTTTGAAGCAATGGTTGGAACATTTAGGACTAAATGGTTAAAAACTTGTTTACAACAACTAAATTCAATGTGGTTTCATATCCCTGCCTCCATTTTTAAGCAGCTAAGAAGAATTGACTTCCTTGCAAGGTGTGACTTTGAAGTGACGAAGATTCCAGTTAAATTATCAAACTTCCACAAACAAGTTCTTCAGTTCTGGAAAATGATATTTCACCATAACTTCTCACCTCATGGATCAACTTTGTGGAAGAATAGAGCAATCACAGTGGGCAGAAAGTCAACATTTAGAAAAGACTGGTATGAAAAAGGCATCATTTTTGTAACAGACATCTTGGATTGTAATGGAGATCTTTTAAATTTCTCATCTTTTGTTAGAAAATATAACCTTAGCTGCTGCCATAAAGACTTTATGAAGGTATGTAAAGCAATCCCTTTAGCCTTGATTCAGTTAATTAAAAATATCATTATGTATTCTAAGGTGACTGTTTGGATGCCACATTAAAACTAAATGACTGTAGTTTAGTTGATCTCAAATGTAATAAGATGATCAATGAATGCATGCGACAAACGATTTACTATGATTACAACGGATTCATTCACGAAACCTCCCAATATAAATCATAAAACCATAATGACTTCTGCTCATTCAAAATTTGTCAAATGGCCTATATCTCCTAAAGTGAAAGAAAACCATTTTAAAATAATAAATAAGATCTATCCAGTAGCCATGTTTCTGCACAGAAGGTTTAAATTTGAGGTGGATTTGTGTACCTTCTGTAAATCTGAAGATGAATCTCTTGAACATTTGTTTTTTTCATGTCAATACTCACAAAGTTTCTGGACTGACATTACAAACTGGATTAATCTAAAACTGAACATTCCTCCCTTTGATGCTGATGCCATTTTATTTTATATGGATAATTTAAGCTCAGCTTACTCTGATGCTATAAATATAGTCATCCTTATAGCAAAGTACCACATTCATTGTAGTAAGTGGAGGGACACTCAGCCCTGCTTCCCGTGTTTTATGAACAAATTCAAGTTGTACTATTCTTCAATAAGTAGATTAAAAAACTGGAAAACTGCTAGAACCATTTCACAACAGATATAAAAAAACATGTTGTTTTAAGTTTCTCATATTGTTTTGCTCCATTTTGTTTCTTATGTTTATTCTTTTCATTTAATGTTTTTTATATATTTATTACTCAATTTTTATCATTTTGTAACCCCCCGAGCTTGTAAACTGTAGTTCTGACACCCTTCACGTGTGTTTGTATATATCTTTCTCTTTTGTAGTGTTTTGTAGTTCTGTGTGTTATTAATAAAAAAAAATTTAAAAAAAATTTAAAAAAAGAAGCACAAAAAAACAATAAAGCACGAATCAAACTTTCAAAAAAAAAAAAAATAGGGGGCTGAAAGAGATAACTAATTACAAGCCCAGAGCACCTCATTCTACAGACAATCTAACTGGCAAACGATCTGAACGACTTCTATTCACGCTTTGAAGTCATGGACTCACATTCCTCCATCTTCCACACCAACCCCAGCCCAACTGGTT